ATATATATATATATATATATTTAGGGCCAATTACGGGGGGGGGGGGCATTTGACCCGAGCCTCAAGCACAAAGGGGACCTCAAATTAGGCTAAAATTTTGACACACAATCTTAGCTTAAAGTTGCAAATGATAAACAAATTAATTATTCAAATTACGTTTCACTTTCCTTTTGGGCTAATGATTGTCTTATTTTGTTTTCATGTGTCATCATTTTTTTTTTATTATAGCCAGGGGCCTCAGAAGATGAAAGTAGTCCAGGCCTCTCTGAACCTCTGAGAGGGCCTGTATATATATATATATATGTAATTTTTATTTTTCGGTTGTATTGTAAAACATAAGGTTTATAATATTTGCCATTGTAAAGTCGAGCAAAAGCATTCAGTTCTTAATACAAGATATATTTTGTAATTCTTAATGTTTTAACATCCTTACCTAACATTAGGAACTGGCCAACCTTCTACAATACACGGTAGTTCGGTCAGATGACCCTGGGTGGCTTTAACAGAAGAAAGCTTCAGAACAAATCTTGGACTAGAAGGTCCGCGAGGCTCTGTAGAAAAAAGGATATATGCAAGTTTACGAATAACATTTTTTTTATGAGCTTTATGTTGCATCTACATCAATATAGTAACTTATCCTTTGAACACCATATCATAGCATTTGAAAGTTGTAACCTAGTGAAAACTAAACCTTAGGACGGTATTTTTTATCAGTATCTATGTCGTTTGTAAACATGCTGGCGGATAGGCTATATGAAAATAAACTTATAAAATAAAGTTAGTGTTAAATATCATGTCCCCATGGAATTTATAAAAGTATTCTTATACTTTTATTATACACAAACTGTATAAATTGCTCTATTCCGATTCTTTTAACATTTAGATTGTGCAGAATTTTCCTGTACTTTGTATATGATATAGTTAAGTTCATATTTTATTAAAGTCCAAAATGGCAATTAAGATATATAATCAAATATTGAATTCAGTTTTAAGAATTCATTTGCACTAGTCTCAAGAATTGCAGGTAAGTCATGGTACAGTTATGACCTCTGTGAAACTAAAATGTATAAATTCACCAAGTATATCGTTCTAGAGAAAATAATTATATGTTTTTCTCGGTTTCAGAAAATCACTAACAAATAAATTTCAAGCTAATATACATGAACTATTGATCAAGATACTATCTGCAGTCGACATCAGATAAAATTCGTTCCCATGATTTTACTTATCGCGCAGATGCTTTAAACAACCACGCTACACCATTTAAGATACTTTATTTCTCAGTTTTCATTTCATTGCTTTTTATGCTCCAGGGACCAGCCATACTTCGTCTTTAAAACCAATGAAATGAAATTTGGGAGTTGTAATACTTTAGTATGTAGTAGTTTAGTCGGTTAAAAAATCTGTCTGATCGGTATAATATTGGAGTCTATTCTCAATTTTTACTTCTTTAGATTAGTTTATACAGGGTGTGCAGCACTTAACACCTCTAATGATAGATGGTTCACACCTTAAAAATACAAGAAGAAAACAACAGAGTATTGTATGACAAATCTGATTATAAAAGTGTGTAGGTTTTAGACACTAACATGCTGGCCTATAAACAAAGTAAATATATCGTTTGATATTTACAATGACGTTAGATAATTTAAATTAATATATTTCCAAGTAGCGTTTTTTCAATATATTTTAGCTAAAAAGTTTAAACCTATTTTTGATTTGTATATACATTTAGTGTTAACGAATTTTATAAAAGTTCAATCTTAGTGACAATTAACTAAAGTCATTTTCAAGTGTAATTATACCTTTTCAGCATTTAATGAGAGGGTTGAACCGGTAACAGATAGTAAATGGAACTGGAATGAGAAAGTGTGGTGTTTTCAACGTACTAGCATAATAACTGTAGACTAAGCCTTTCACTAGAACACGTGAGCTGACCATATTCATCTAAAGTAATTAATAAAATGCGTGATATACTGTTTTTAACATTGTTCTACTATGGTGTGATAAAATAGATGCATTCTGAATGACTTGCACAGGGTGTATTTTATATATTTCATCTATTAAATATTTAATTATCGACGAACTACACGAATATTACTTGTGAAGGCTTTATGAACCATCTTTCATTATCACGCAAATTGAAATGATGCCATATCATTAAAAAGCAAAAAGTTATAAATTAAATTATAAGATACCTCTTACTGTAAGTTTCCCATAGGTGGAGCTGGTTGCGGTATACCAAGTCAGTCTATGCTTAGTTTTACAAGTGTATGTATACGAATGGGTATTTTCTACTCTATACAAAAGTAGCTCTCCTGTCTGAAGAACATGAACTTGTCCTAAATAGGAATAAGAATAATATTAGTAATGTTACAATACCACTGGAATCGTAATTATTTCAATTATTTGAGATATATATATATATTTAAATTTAATGTCAATTTTGGAAATAAATTACTTCCATGTAACTTCCTTTCAAACACACATTAATTATTCAAATTAACAGTTTTTATTTAAAAAGTTTAAGAAGACGAATATATTCTTTTGAAAGTCACATCTCTTAGGAGCAGTCCTGTTTTTCGCCGTAGTTTGTACAATTTCATGTCGTCTATTTCAAATAATTGTATCCTGTAGACCTTGTAGATAGTTAAGTGCTTAGACCATAGTGGTGTCTCCAGAGGGGTTCAATTCCCGAAGTGTGGAGCTCTTCACTAAGAAAATAATAATAACAACAACAATGGTGGTATTGTGTAAAAAATTGGCGTGTACTAAAACATCGACAAACCCAAAGTGTTGAAATGTAAAAACCAAAATGAATACAAGTAATGAAATATTTAGCCTCGAAATTACTACAAATCATTTACTTAGCAAAATGTTCATTGAACTTTTATACTCCATCGTGGAGTATAAAAACACAAATAACACGCTTTTTTTCTCTATTTGTTTTTCTCGACGTAACACGGACCAAATTAGTTTCAACACCAGAAAAGTGGAAATTTACTGAACAAGATACGTGGCGGCTCGATCCTATTACTGAAAAATTTTAACGCGTGCGCATTTACGATCAAGGACTAGGATTAATCCGATCCATCAAGATCAATAATACCCGTTTTTTTTGTTGAACCGTAAATACTGGAATAATAATAAAAAAATGCAGTTGTTGGAATAACAAATAGGTTGATTTTGTTAAGAGCGGTGCCAACGGTTGTTGAGCTAGATGTATTTGACTCTCAAACTACAACTTGCACAGATATAAGCTGTTTAGAAAATGTCACTGTATTTTGATATAGAGTAATCGATAATATATATAAATTAGGACCTTATTACTGTTTTACCTAACCTTCACTTTTTCGCATGAGATATTGTCTTGATATATTAGCTTTTAAATACACGCAAACATGTACTTTTAAAATGGCATAAAAACACAAGATTATTTTCATTATCTTCTAGCATTTTCGTTTTAGAGATAATCAAGTTATCTTCCACGTAGAAAATATGTCTCTTGTGTTCAGTTTTTCTTGAATAATTTTGTTTGATATGCCACAAACTTACATTTATAAATATCAATGCAAAAATACGAAACCCTATAACCTGGGTAATAGGATTTTATGTATTTGTCTTTGATTGATTTTTGAACTACGTGTTTTTCTAACACCGTGTAGAAATATTGACGGACATGATAAACTCTTGCGAAACTACAAAGCAGATAGTAATGACGTATCACACTCAAACACATTACAATTCGTACAAACAAACAAACAAAAAATGCTCAGAGCAGCATAAAAGATGTAAAACAAATTCAGTGACTCACCATCTGAATAGTTCCTTCTATACTCGACATTATCATCTCTTAACCACGAGTCAACGCTGACGAACTTTCGGATAAATGATGGTACCTCACATCGCAGGATCGCAGAGTTGTTTTTGATGACGAACTCACCGAGAACCTGTGGTTTGAAGTGGTGCTGGACGACTGACTCATAAAAACAAAGAGTTTTCTATAAGCTTTTCAAGTCAAACACTTAGAATCAATATAGATAATACTGTATAGAGTTCAGAGAACAAAAGACAAACAAAAAAAAAGAAATGAAATAATTCAATAAGAAGTTTAAGCCTTTATATAAGTCCCGAGCACTATTCAATAAGAACTTTAAGCCTTTATATAAGTTCCGAGCACTATTCAATAAGAACTTTAAGCCTTTATATAAGTTCCGAGCACTATTTAATAAGAAGTTTAAGCCTTTATATAAGTTCCGAGCACTATTTAATAAGAAGTTTAAGCCTTTATATAAGTTCCGAGCACTATTTAATAAGAAGTTTAAGCCTTTATATAAGTTCCGAGCATTATTTAATAAGAACTTTAAGCCTTTATATAAGTTCCGAGCACTATTTAATAAGAACTTTAAGCCTTTATATAAGTTCCGAGCACCTTCTGAATTAAAATACATCAGGAGTAAAGTAAGATTTAATAGTTTTTATTTCTTAATCACAAAAATGTGCAAATGTTTCTCTCAATTCTTATACTTTTATTTTATTTGTTTGAATTTATACACAAAGCAACACAAAGGGCTATCTGTGCTCTGTCCACCACGGGTATCGAAACCAGGATTCTAGCGTTGTAAGTCCGCAGACATACCGCTGTGCCGATGGGGGGGGGGGCTCAGTTCTTATACGTAAGATACCTCGTTCACGTTATTTCATAATAATTACGGTATTTGCAAGCTCCTTTTTTGATTCGTATTAATCTAGCGAATATACATATTTTATTTAGATTTGGAAGGTAATGATATCAGAGATTTATAAGAAGAATAAACATTTTAATCGAAATGAAGATACTCACTTCATTAAGTTAATAATTAAAAAGAATATGATTACCAGTTTTTGAAATTAGCACGATGAAATAATCAAAGCTGGTTTTTATTGTTGCCATTCTTTAATCCGAAAAGTAGGAAATTAAAATTTTAGAATTCGAGTGTAACAAAAATGTAAATCTTAATAACAATTGTCAGTAAAATATACGTTAAATGTTTAAATCATTCTATGCACTATTTAACTACTTTTATTCTTCTCTCAGGTAGAAATGAAATATATCTGATATGGAATCCTGTAAATTTCAATTTATTCTGTCTATTGTTAGTAGAAAGATAAATGAGTGTACAGAAATGATACGCATTTTTTTGATATTTGTTGCTTCTGCGAGTTTAATTTCAATGAGAAAACATGCGTCTACAATGATTAAACTATATAAAATAATATATAGCATGCGGTTTGATTTAATAATTAATTAGTTCAGTCTAAAGCGCCATCTAGCAATCTATACTTGAGAACACCATAGGCGTTAGAAATAGAGAACACCGAGATGGGTAAACACAGCAATTACAAGGACTTAGGAATTTAATGACCTATGAAATTTCTTCCCAAGGGAAGATGTGATCAAATTACAGCTTCTTTGAGTTTGATTACATTATCATAATTGTTAAACTAATTTGTAGAATGACTTATTATTTATCCAAACCTTAACAACAGAATAAATATGTTTATAGGCTGATGTTTCTTCCTTGTACTGAAATAGAAAATATGCATATGAAAGTTCACTGCACAAAATATTGCATATTAGTTTTTTCACTTAATTTACTTACATAAGAACCATAATGTCTTCGTTTTTGAACCTCTGTGATGTTTAAGTTTAGAAGTGAATATTGTGTAATTTTAGAAGAAGTTTTATTTGTGAATAAATTATAGCAAGAACTTGTTCAACTAAATAACATTCGTATTTATGGGCTCCCAAATGGGACAGCAGTATTTCTGTGGACTTACAATGCTAAAATCCGGATTTCGATACCCGTGGTGGGCAGAGCATAGATAGCCCAGTGTGCCCCTTTGTGCTTAACTTCAAACAAACATATTTACAGAGAAAGAAGTAAATATGGTAAAATATGGTTTTAACTACAACTACTACGTTTTGCTAAATTTGCCTAGCTTCATCTAGTGGCAAGCTTTGAACAATTGTAACTAGATTATAAATGTATAAAAACAACCATAACGCTCCGGAAAGAATTTATCTAATCATACCAACGTTTTATTATAGATTCGTTGGTTCGATTAAATGAATTATTTCTGGAATGCTGAGGTCAATTTTACTTATAACCTAGGATTAAAAATGTCTACATTGATGCAGTTAACGCTACAAGATTTAAAGAATCTTGAAGACATTAGAATTAGGCCATTTATATTTTTATCAATAGAATCTCTAGTGTTTTCCAAAGGAAAAAAAAAGGAGAAGAGCGTATAATAATATTTCAATCACACAATGGCCGCCATATCCATTGTCGACGATATATTCCGCTAAAAATAGAGCTCATTAGGCCATCTTGAACTTTGTTTGGAAGCCCATTCAGCTCACTGGACATCACGCTTGCCCCATCATAGGTTTGCACAACAAATTTTGACCCAATATTTAATTCATCAACTAAATTAATACTATCTTCGATATACCTACAGCTGTTAAATCTGCACTAACATTTGTAAACCCCAGAAATCTTTCGCAAATTTCACCATCTTTAGTCACATTTCGCACAACACTAGAAAGCTGAGAAATGGTTCTTGCATCGGTATTTTCATCTAAGATAAGAGCCACAAACAGATAATCACTTATTTCGCTTTTAAATTTATTCAACAATACTTCCCATACGCAATTAATGAGGTCGTTCTGGATTCTATTTGACAGGCCAGAAAAAACACATCGATTTCTCTAAGTGTGATTTCAATAATGGATCATATTTCTTGCACAAATTTACCCATTCCACATAATTGCCTCGGTTAGCAGACTCTAATGATTCATCATGACCTCTAAATGCTAGTTCTTGTTCACCCAAATAGCATACTACGTCTAGTAATCTCTATTCCTCTTCTCCTTTTCATTGTGCATTTGCACATCTATTTTATATTGGTTATTTAGTTGGAATTCTATCCGTGATTTTCCAAATCTAGCTAGGCCTAGAGTTGAAAATATATAACTGGAGGAATTTTCATTTCTTTTAATCGCTTTAAGCAAACTATTTAAATCACCAAATCCGCT